ACAAAAGCTTTCCGCGAAATTTGTATATGAACAAAATTGTTCAGAATCATGTCCGTGATAAGATATTAAAAGCGCACTAAAATCGAGAAAAGTTTATTTCAAAAGTTGTCGGTTGTTTTGCAATAACAACACTTTAGAATTGAAAAATGAAAAATTTTTTGATAATGGTACCAATGGAGAGTCAGAACCTACCAGATGCAAAAGGTTTCGTTCCGATCGAATTGAGTAACCTCTTCCTTTTTCGAAGTCGGTTAAAAATACATTGTTAAATATCATACACTTTGAATTTTGTGGTACTCCATTAAGAGTATAGTCTTATAGAGTTGGCATTAAAAATGATGCAAACAAATTTAGTATAAGACTGACAAGAAAACTCTCATATTAAAGAGTTTTGGGAAACGTTAATATTTACTGAATATAAAAATCTTCACCTACAATAATTAATGATTTTCCGAAGCAGTAGCGCATGCTTTTAAAGAAAATTTGAGTATACTTTTTTTAACAACCCTCGTGGCTACTGCATAGAGTTAGCAAGCTTTAAACTAATGAACAAAAGGTAATTGCAAGTTCAGAACACTTTATTACAAATTTTATATAAAATATACATGATAATACCCGTAATTTTGTAAGATCAATTTTCTTCAGAATTGTGCCCTACTGCCTTGAAAAATCAATGTTTGAGTAAAAGTCTGTATATCAAGTATAGTTCGTAGGATCGAATAACTACATGAGCCTCTTCCCGTAAAAAACGTGAAGAATTTCTAGACTTCATTGTTAGACAATATAAAATTTCTTTGATTACGAAGTTATAAAGCTTATGATCGCCATATTAAATCCAATTTAAATGTAATTTCGACACTGAGTTTATAATCAGTGAGCTCAGAAATCTCGTGATAAATTCTATCAAATCAAACAAGTTTCGTACGAAATATTTCTTCACATTTTCTATGAACGACTTAGCCACCAATATAAATGGTGACAATACGGAAGTAGTCCGTAATTAAGTATATGCATACTGAAATCGCTCGTTTGAGCTAAACACAAGGTGTTGCATGAACAAACCGACTTTCGTCAGGAAATATATGTACATATCTATATTTGGGACATCATTTTAAATAAAAAATGTTATATAAGCAATTGACTATTGATACATCTCTTATGTAATTGTCATATTAAAAGATAGTATTTGCGTTCTGATTGTAATGAACAAATCGTTCTTGCAACAACAGCAGACATATTACTTACGCTACTCATTCTTTGAGCTTATAATTGTATGTGAAAAATTTACATTCTATCAAATTTGGTAAAACCTACAATTGGTAAAATGTATACAAGTCTTTCAATCGAAAAATATATCGACATTATACATATCTGCACAGCTGGTATACACGAGTAATTTAACACGTTCCGTGCCAAGCCATTTTTGCCTGACTTGTCGTTTAGGCCATCTGATATTTTGACTAAAGATTAATATATTATCACACAATATTTCATTACATCCTCAATACATAAGTAATTCTTTTTTTCTTTTATTCTATACTGCATCTTGTATAATGCTTCATTTTTTAGGTAGAAATATAATTTATAATTTGTAATAAAATATATGTTTTCAGCGCATTGAATAAATATGACTGCGTGTACCACCGGTGGTACACGTGGCCTGACAATCAAGTTTACCGTGTACCACCGGTGGTACACGTGGCCTGACGATCAAGTTTACCGTGTACCACCGGTGGTACACGTGGCCTGACGATCAAGTTTACCGTGTACCACCGGTGGTACACGTGGCCTGACGATCAAGTTTACCGTGTACCACCGGTGGTACACGTGGCCTGACGATCAAGTTTACCGTGTACCACCGGTGGTACACGTGGCCTGACGATCAAGTTTACCGTGTACCACCGGTGGTACACGTGGCCTGACGATCAAGTTTACCGTGTACCACCGGTGGTACACGTGGCCTGACGATCAAGTTTACCGTGTACCACCGGTGGTACACGTGGCACGGAACGTGTTAAATACATTTAACCATTTGCGTTCTTATGTCAAATTTAATTCCATGCCAAAATTTTGGATTGTATAAGTAATTTAGATAAATAGATTAGATAAATTTATTTATATATATATATATATTTTTTAGTTATCATTTGCATGTTTTAAATAATAAACATTTTTAATAACTCGAAATATAACTAAAATTTAATATCGACGAGAAAAGTTATTTTGAATATATATTTTTGAACAATTGTTTTCTTGTTATACAGTATATTACGTATCATTTTTCTTGGTAGGAAATGCTGAACTGACAAACTTATTTAAGTGTAAAAAACAAAGGCATCAGTGTTGTGCACCCAAGTCATTGATACGAGAATTCAGTGAAGGAAATTCTAGCGTGCCAATATCGATTAACCGGAACGACACTATGTTCATTACATCGAAACCATATACAACCTCTCTTACAACAACAATGTGTAAGTTAAAAGATTACTAGAAGTATGTAAGCTATAAAATATCTCAAATAATTGTTCATTTATTAAAATTATATATAAAATGTGTAGTAAGAAATTCAGCTTATTTTAAAAGGTAAGGAAAATTTATTTTAAAAGGAAAAGGAAGGTTTAGTATATTTTATTTAATAGTTTGTAGTTTTAAACCGTTGACGGTTTTTGTAAAACTCTTTTGCAAAATCGCTACTGTTACATTATTTATGTTTAAATTAAAGCTGAGAATGTTTTTACTTATGGCATTTTCTCTTATGGCTGGCTTTTTACTTGCCCCTGTGCGAATTGTTTCAAGGCCAAAAGCATTACATAAAAAAAACAAAATAAAAAATTGTTATTTCGGTTTGGCTTTTTAAATATAATCATAAAGATGTATTACTTAAAACGTGTATAAAATTCAATTTATTACCTTAACGTAAGTAATATATTTTTCAACATCTTTATATTATAGTATTATTTTTCTAAACATGTACATATTATTATTATTATTATTATTATTATTATTATTATGTACAACATATTAAAATACCAGGCGTGAGAACATAACCTTCTTTTACCTTCATCTCAACTCTATATGTAGATCTGAAACTCCAAAAGCAGCCTGCAACATTATAGCTAAATGTTTCCTGTCATTTTTAGTAAATAAAATCAAATGTCTCAATAAAATATTGGAATTGCAAAGATACCGAAAACAACCGTACTATTTCATCATTATCTTTTATTATAATTTCATTATAAGCCAGAAAGATTATTTTTATTTTTATAGATGAGACAACGCCGATGACAACAACTGTAAGAAGTCCTGTTTACAGTAAGTACGTGTGTGGTGTAAAAGGAACTTATCGTGGACCAGTCCAAGCTCGTAACTTTAAAAGGGGAGCACGAGTTGTTGGCGGAGAAGATGCCGATGCTAATGAATGGTGTTGGCAAGTTGCTCTAATTAACTCCCTTAATCAGTACCTTTGTGGAGGTGCACTTATTGGAACACAATGGGTCCTCACTGCAGCACATTGCGTGACAAAGTAAATATGATTGCTTTCTAAAATTATAAACACAACATGTTATGCTGATTGGAATATAGTTTCAGAATAGGGACGAAGATTTTAACGAATTTTGGTTTTTACGTTAGAATAATTACTAATTATTTACTTTTAAAGATTTCTCACCGATTTCGAGTATCTTAACTTATGTTGTCAAGATTACTGTTCTGAATAACCTTTCCCTATTCATGTTATCGCCGCGCCGCTCGGCTTTCGATTTCGAAATATTCGCAAAAAAAACTTCAATTATCTACTTCTATCATCCAGGTATCAGTAAAATTAGGTTAGATTAGATTAATATTCTAGCTAACGTGAAATCTTGTACAAAGTTAAAATGATGTAAATACTACGATTAAATTATGTCGTAACACTATTTGTAAACAGCCACAGATAAGGTATTCTACGAGCCGCTTTAGTGTTTACAAATGTATTTTGGGTATTATTTAAGTAGAGAAGATAAAGTTATATGAATTTTTAGGCATATGTAATGGAGATAACAAATTAATAGTTTTCTTTATTATTAAGAGTGATATGAATTGCAGAATGTTGAATTAAGTGTGGGAAAGAAATGAAATTTGACCGAACAAACTTTGAAGCGGCGCGCTGCAATCAATGTCGTGTATACTTCAATCACAAAAATGTATGGCCCTAAGTAATGGAATGATGAGATATAATCGTTGAATTTGTTTTAAAACCCATTATAATATTATACATAAAAAATGTAGGGTGTCAATTTTCTGATTATTCTCGTATACACACAATCTATATGAATTAAGATTGAATTACTATCAAGATGAATTTCATATTGATAAATTCCACGTTAGTGTGGAACAAGAAATAAATTTCCAGGATGTAGAATCCGGAGAGGATTATATTGGTTATATTGCTGAATTTTTGGTATAATGCAAATATGATTTCAGTAAAAGCACAGTTGCATTTTTTTATATTGATATTCCTCTAGCTTCTATTAATAATAATTGTCATAAAATTCGGCGAGAAATAGTTACAATAAATAATTATCGAATAATATTTCATGAAAATAATATATTTAACGCAGTATAAATAAATTATATGAAAAACCAATAACTTCAACAAATGCATTGCAGCATTGTGAGATCTGGTGATGCGATTTATGTGAGGGTGGGAGATCACGATTTAACTCGTAAATATGGAAGTCCAGGTGCACAAACTTTACGAGTAGCAACGACTTATATTCATCATAATCATAACAGTCAAACACTAGACAATGATATAGCACTGTTAAAACTACATGGGCAAGCAGAGCTTAAAGATGGCGTTTGTCTTGTATGTCTTCCTGCACGAGGAGTTAGCCACACAGCTGGTAAACGATGTACCGTCACTGGTTATGGATATATGGGAGAAGGTAAGTACTTATATTGAATATACAAAATATTTCAGTACACTTTGATTCAAAGTAATTTTGTTTAGTGTAAATTTGTTTCAAAAGAATATATCTTATTGCATAAACTGCACAAATTGTGTAGTTGTTATAATATAGATCAGTTCTATGGAACATTCTATATAAAAAAGTAGAGTTAAATTCTATAAAACTGATTTAAAAAAATAATTTTGGATAAAATGTGTCAATTTTATATTTAAAATTTTATAAAATCAACTTACGCAAAAAAAATACGTAGTTGAATTTAAGAAAACATTGGTGATTTTAAAATGTTGAAAAAATGCTTCACATAATACGTTGCCTTTCGAACAAAAAAATTCACCTTTTAAACTGTATAATAGATTTATTGAACACTCTACTGTATATTCAGCATGTAAACGATGCACAAGAATTATACAAAATATTTGCCATAGCTTTTCGTGTAGAATCGTTCTTAAAATTAATATTAAGATATTAATTTAATATAAAGAATGTTATATATCTTAGCAGTAGTAGTCCAGAAAACTTTAATACGGCGCAGTTTGTGGACATTATTATAAAATAATTTAAAATTCGTCATTTAAATCATAAAAGTTAATAATTATTTTATTTGTCTTCAAGGAATTTGACAATCATGAAGCAAAACGGATAAACATGTAATACTATTATGTTACAAAAATCGTTGCAACGAATAGATTTTTACACGTATTTGGACATATTATACTTATGTTCAATTTAAGGACAGTTTTAAATTTCTAAGGTTAGAAATAATTTTCAGTATTTAACTAACATTAATAAAAAGAATCATTTAAAGATAAAGGTTGCTAAGCTCAGGTTCTTAATTTTTTTTTATAATTTTAATGTCAAAGTATTTGATTATTATTGTAGTAAAACATTCAAAATACAAAAATATGTAACGAAGGCTCGAGTATAACTAACGCGGAATATATACTTAAATATATGTGAAATGTTAATGTTTAGTAAATATTTTTGTGAAAAACAATTAAAAAATAATATTTTTCTTTTTATTCATTTAGACTTTTCTTCTTATTAATAACTATAACGTTTACTTTTATAATCTTTGGATCAACACATTTCTTACGTACTCAAGTTTCCCACATTAAGTAATTGATCTGCCTTTCGTGATCATAAATGGAAAAAAGAAAAATGAGATGAAATTGTTGGAATACGTTTAAATGAAATATTATATTTCATAATAATTAGACGATTGTTGAATATTTATGCCAACCTTAAATTCGCTTCACTATAAAGTACATACTTCACATTAGAACCTTTATACGTATAAACTACAATACTTATCGTTAGGATAGTGACATTGGTAACATTAAAAAACCCGCAACGAGCACAATTTACCCAAATATTAAACTAAAATATTTATTTTCTATACTTATTTATCAATTTGTTTCAAAAACGAATGATATAACTCCATACACCAAACATTTTGGTTCCACAAAACCGAAAATACTTGACAAAAAACGAATTCTTTACAGCAAATTTGTAAAAAATTAATCTCTTATAGATTTCGATGCTTTTGAAATATGTTATAAAATTTGAAATTCTAAATAATATTTTGCTGTGATAAAATTATAACGGGCGAATTATGAAACCAAACTTTGTAAGCGACTTTAATGATTTCGAGTTTCAGTTTGTGCAGCCGGCCATGTAATGACAGTCAAGATATTAATCTAACCCGACCAAACTTTTTTATTATTTCTTCTGTTACTTATACGTACAGGTTTGATTAAATAAACTCATTCGAGACGGCGATTTATTTTGAACGCGGTCCCCAAGAGCGATGCTTTTTTTCTTTATATTATTCATTTTTAATAAAACAAAACCTGTTTACTCAGAATATTTTTATTGCGAGGAGCGGTTTGATCACCATGTGTGTAATATAAGGTCTTACCTCGACAACTACTTTACTCACAAGGGACATCACCAAGGTGTTACACGCGGATTTTAACGAAAATTACATATGCGGTAGCTTTTCAAAAATCATTTGACACGTATTTTTTTATATCTGCGGATGCATGTTGAGGGGGTGAAAATAGCCCTCAAAGTTCGGGGTTGAAAACACATTTTCTTCAATATCTTGGAAACTAGAGGGTGCAGGAAGGTGAATTTTTGTTTAAATTGTGTAGTTTTTAGTCAGGAAATTAGTTAGTGACAAACCTTTCGGGAGAAATTATTTATTTAAATAATATATTAAAAAATTGGACTTTTTTTTCAATTTTTCACCCTAAACGCAGTTCGACTTTTTTGCAGATTTGTATACAAAAAATATGGATCAAAATAAGGGATACGTGTTTTTGGAATTTTTTGTTTATTGCAATTTAGCAATAATTATTACATATACAATTTTCTCCTACTTTTTACGGAGAAATAATTTGAGATTTGTTTTCGGAGAGGGTCAGCCTTTTTCATGCGATAATCTGTTACGTTTTTAACAATTAGACAATATCAGA